TAAGTCTAAGAGAGAGAACTAAGTAAACCATGTACCTGTTAAAGATTTAGCAGAATCTCTACTGGACGCATGGCTGGCGGACCTGGCGACCTGGCTCCGGAGGCAGGTGTTCGTGATCTTTGAGCAACTGTCGGAGAGTGACGCTGACTTCTTCCAGGGGACCTCGCCCAGGGAACTCAATGTAGACGAGACATGTACTGCTTTGTTGGAGAATACACCAGGTTGGTACCAAAACGTTTTTATTCATTAATCAACATAATAATGGATGATTTCTCGGATCAATACTCAAAATGTATAAATACTGAGTAAATTCTGAATATTTTTGTTTTCCGTTTTATTCAAGTATTTTTGTCATTTAAAATCCCAAATAAATACCAAATTTTACTCTGTATTTTTAATTTTTGGTATTTATCCGTAAAATTACCCATCTACAATCTTAACATTAGGTTTATCTACACCTGTATCCAGCGATAAATATTGCACGTCTACTTTTAGAAAGAGACAATTTTGTGTGATATTACTATCATATTTATTTCAACAAAACTGTGGTTATCTATGTGAAACAAGTGAATTTATTTCTGCAAATAGGCTACAAGGCAGCACTTTTACGCGTCAATTTTATCAAGCGAACGATGAGGTCGACATTTTCTAACTGACTACTCTGAGAAGAAATGCCGAAACAAACTCATCTATCTATCCAATTGTTATAAATCTTGGAAAAGAAAATATTCTAATTCCCAATAGACAAACTATTCTATTATTTTTAATAAGACCTGATCATGGTGATGAAGATGAAGACGAAATGTTTTTTTTCTTACAGCTCTACTATACGTGTTTGGAGAAGAGACAGTGTCTCAGGCCATCAGACTAGTTGTGACCAGCTTTACACACAAAGAAGTTAACATGGACGTCATCTTCAGAGTCTTGGACCTTTTCGCCGGAAACTTCAAAAAGTCGGCCGGACTTAGGAACCCTTCGTTTGATAGCAATTAGTTTGTGGAGCAAGAAATTCTGTAGAAATCTTCTTTAATGGGTATCGTTCTACCTGTATCGTCTTTCTGTTCCTTTATGGCAGGGGTGGCCAACTTGATCAGACAAATATCCACTTTTTACTAACGAAACCCTGTGCGATCTACGACGTAAGAAAAGAAAGAAAGGAAAACCATTTATTCTTGCGCAAAACACACAACATAATTAAAAAAAAAATATAATAAAATAAAAGCTAAAAACAAAAATTAAAATGAAGTGAAGTCTTGTCCATGGTCCACAGACTTATTATTTTACTGAAATCATAGAATACTTAATATCTATATACTAATAGAATACGTACATACTTCTTGAAATATTAAATGATACAGCGCAGTGTTTAGTACATAATCATAAAATATATTGGAAAATGACCCAAGATGATGCTAATGTAGTTGGTAACTGCCTCCCCTGCTTTATTTACCTTAGTACTTATTACCGTTTCATCCGACCCGGAGTTGCGGACGGCCTAGCTAGTTACCGTGTCTTGGCTCTGAGCAGGAGTAAAAACGGTATTTGTCAGTAAGAGTCTGACACTCTCTCACCCAAGGCGGGAGGAGACATTGGATGATTTTCGCCTTCAAAAAAATGCAATTATTACCGTTTGACATCCAAATTCAATTATCGGAGGGCCCTACAGGCCCGACCGAAGCGATACCACGGCCTCGCAGAAAACCGACGTCTAAAAACGCTTGAGTTGTGTTTTGACCACACAAAAAGGCCGAATTGCATAAAATGTAATAAGAATATTTCTCAGCTATAAATAATCATTTCGGTATATTTATAATTTATGAAATTTCACGTGTAAAGATCCAATATAATATGTGTAAGAAAGTAAATAAATAATTTTTCTAGTCCTCGTTTATAGATCTGATGTTTCTATGTTGAAATTAAAAAATGGTGATTTTATTGAATGTTATATTGTGAACAGTATTTAAGCGACATTCCATGACTATATAATATTCATGTATTGTAGAGATTAAATAATTAATAACAGGTCTGAATCCAAAATCTTTATTGGTTAAACTATTATCAGAATTTTATTTAAATTTTTGTTTGAAATTAATATAAGTCGTCGTATTTGTTAGTGTTTAAAAATGTTGTTTAACTTATACTTTATATTTTTTACTATAAGCTGTTTTTACCACATTATTAGTAGATTTTTCTGTTATTAACAAAATTATGGTATTTAACACGTTAAACGCCATGGCAGTCACTGGTGACCGACATTAGCGGAGGATTTGCCTTCAATAGTTTTTTATTGGCAGCCAATGCAATTTAAATAAAAACAATTTCTTTCTAAACAAAGTTTTATTTTTTTACATTTTTCCTCAGCCAAAATATTATGTATAGTTGCTACAATTAAATCTGTGCAGGTACTTATGATAGATTAGTACCTTTAAAAATTTAGAGGTCCTTGCTAAAAAATAACGCAATTTTTGGCAACTCGCCACTTTAGCGCTGTGTACCTATAGAGAGAGCAGAAAACAAAATGTATGGAGATGACACTGATAAGTGTCAAAATTTACATCAATCTACATCTACACTTCTACATACGTCGCGGAGAACCTAACCGGTAACCGGGGCTCCGGCTCGACGTGCAGGAGAAGGAACGGGGTGGTTTTTAGTCAGTAAGAGTCTGACACTCCCTACCGCCTCACACAGGCGGGAGCAGTCAATCGATGATTTTCCCCCCTTAAAAAAAACACTTCTACATACCCTATACTTATTTTACTCTTTGACTTCTACACTAATAGTATAAAGAGGAAAAATTTGATTTTTTATTTGTTTCTTTGAATGGCATCTCCTCCGAAACTACATTGGAATCCTACATTAACTATGCTGAACATATGCTACATTTAATAAAACAGAAGAAAGAGAACCGTGTGAAAATTACGATAATGTAATCCGAAGTGTGAAAAATATACCAAAAACTCCTTATGTTGCTTAAGCCTTTGACTGCCTATAGAAAACCGTTTTCGAGGACTAATTAATGCATTTAATAGTGAATGAGAGATTTTAAAGAAAAAATACGAATTCAATTAACTGAATAGTGGACTAGCTTCTGCCTACGGTTTCGCTCGCGCCCTTTTAAAGTATTGACGGCAGGTTTACAAAAGAAAAAAAAGAATTGGTGCACGATGTTTAGCTGGTCACAAACATGGTACTAATTTTAAGAATTCAATTTTGAGAATATTATAAATTATTTAGTGTATATGGGTAGCTAATGAACCAAGGAAGGTATTCTAATAGTTTGTACGCTTAGTGTAATATTTTTTTTAAGCTAAATGCATTTGTCTATTGATCAAATTAGTGATTCAAAACAAAATTTGATACAAATTTACTTGCTATTTTAAAATGAAGGATATATCTGCCAGTATTAGTATTAATAAATGTTTATTGGTGTATTGACAATAAATTAAAACCAAAATCGCTTAAATAAACAAGCAGTTTTTATTTATTAATGTTTTTATAGTTCGATCGGGATTTTTTCGCCAAAACCGAAAATGTTTAATATCTCAGGAACTAGCCACTTTCGGACCAGAACTATCATAGGTAATTTTGTAGGATATTAGTTGTATTAACAGCTCCCGAGAGGAATACGTTGAGTTACAAGACACCCCGTATAAAGAGGATCATGAAATGTATGTACCCTTGATAACGATAAAATAAAATCAAAACATCCAAAAACCATATTTTATTTATTCAAAATTCTAGAAAATTACATATCACAGAGATTGCATATTTGTTATTTAAGGACAATGTACGGATAGCAACACAATAACATCTCGCTGCTGCCCGTACCAATAACATTAAATTAATTACATACATTTATTAAAACATTACTATTTAACATGAAATCTGTAGATGTACAGTCAGCAAAAGAGAAACAAATAATTATGGCATATTTTTCGAAGATTTGATTTATTTATGTTGCTGGCTGTACACCTAATTTTGAAAATCCCTAGTTCACGTGGGCCTTAAATTTTGGCGGCAAGAATTTACATAACCAAGGGATTTACTGGTCAAATAGAAATTCCCGTAGTAGTTTAATTTCGGAATTTCCAAATAAAATTACAAAAATAAAATAATTTACAAAAATTTGTGCTTTTAACTAATTTAACCTAGAGATTGCTTTACCTAACAATAACTTTGAGCTATTACGTTTAAAACAAAATAAAACTACTTAAAAGTCTAACCAATATTCTTTTAAAAAGATCTAATATCAAACCTAAACAGTTTCACACGTGACCTCCTGATACATTAATCTGACACGTAACTGAACTAATGGCCAGTCTCAATAACCAATCAGCTGCTGTAGCCAAATGCCATTTAGCGCTTGTCTACATGTAGAATAGAAAACTAAATTATATGGAATTGACATAAATTTTGACACATGGGCACACACAAAGGCCCTGTGCCTTTGGCCAAATGCCACTTTAGCGCTTGTCTACAGAGAGAGTAGAAATCAAAATGAATGAGGATAACACTGACAAGTGTCAAAATTTACGTCAATTCCATATAATTTGGTTTTCTATTCTACATGTAGACAAGCGCTAAATGGCATTTGACTACAGCTGCTGCTGGGTAGATTATTTGCCTACAAAACATTGAATTTTGATAATAACTTCATCGAAATGTGTATTTTGTAGACAAATTTGCCTACAGGTAGAATTTTTAGCATAAACTCGGGAAAAGTGTGCTAAATTTCTATTTTTTGTAGGCAAATCTACCGACAAAACGGGTATTAAAGCTAGTCGTTAGTTTTTCTAACTGGATAATGTTGGTTACTTACAGCTACTTCTAGACAATGTGAAATCAATGGTAAATTATAAAACAAATCGTATAAAAAATAATTCATAAGTCTTTTTACAATTCGACAATAAGTATAAATATAATAATCAATTTAAAAAATTACCTATAATAGTCAAATTATCTATAATTTGCGGATTTTTAAAAACTACATAACATCACGGTGCGATTTTGATAAAGATGTAGGCAGAATATTGAAAATATATCAAAAACATATTATTTGTGTAATTCCATGCACCGGTCACAACATCAGAATTAATGGCATTTTTGCAATCATAATAAATGTTCGGCTCGGGAATTGAACCCGAAATTTTTTCCAACAGTCCCATTTGTGACCAATAATCTTAAAACTTTTCGAAATAAACAGTAAGGATACATTATAAGTTATAGGTACAAACAAAAACGAACTTAATACCAATTATTATAAGGGTAATAATCAGGAGACTGTTCATAAAAGTTATATAAAAATTGAGATATATTTTCAAAATCAGAGAGCTAACAAGGTCATAAGGCCAGCAGTTCAAGCTATCCCTGCTACATATTTCATTTAATTTTCGACTTTATGTCAAAACAATATCGTATTTGTCTCAAATTCGACATCACACTCAAACTTGGGACAACAATTTGTGCTACAGTGATGGGCCAAACAGACCTTACGCCGCTTTGGCGCCATCTAGTGAACAAAAACCTCGTTGCTATTACTTAGAGAGCGGTGACAGTGTCCAGATCGTCTGTCGTCATGATGGTGTCTGGTGAAGGAAGCTGTTCCACTTCCACTATGTCTGACTCGACCTCTGACTTATCCGTGAAGCTTAGGAACATCTGCAGAGGAAAACATATTTTTAAATGCAGGCAGTGATTTATAAGTAATAGTAAAAAAATAAATAAGTATGTCGCAACCGATCATTAGACTCGGCGGAGGTCACTTCAGTTCGAGTCGCCACTGAGTGAAGACGTTGTCACAGAACTGCCCTACGTTTCGGTTAATGCCCAGTTAATGTACCTTGTGATTGTAAGAAACTCAGTGATTAATTCTAAACGCTTTTCCTATTTACACGATACTCATATTCGCCCACATTATGTCTGAGCAACCGGAACTTATTGCCTCCTCCGACATCAGAAGAGGGATGATTGTTACCGCCTTTAACAAGTATATTTTGTCCTCTTGCGTCTGGAATCTCAAGAGGTAACGTTACCATACACACATCAACAGTCAACAGCCTATAAGTGGCCACTGCTGACCAAAGGCCTCTTCTCACACGGAGAAGGTTTGAGCATTAATCAACACGCTTGTTCAATGCGGGTTGACGATTCCAAACTTATGCCTTAAGCCTAGGTTTCCTCACCATGTTTTACTTCACCGCTTGTCAGT